GGATGTGTGTCTATTTTCTTATTTAACTCAGTGAATTAAAGGTTTATATCGACCATATTATAAATTGGTGATTGTTGAAAGACAAACAAAGCAGTTTTAAGGGAGTTCTGTTGTGTTTCTATTGTGTTTGAATGATCTGGTTAAATTAGTGTTTTTATGAATGGAGTCTGGTTTTAAATATCTGATACTTACTAATGACTGTGCTAGTTCTTTAGCACTCTCCAGGTCTTTATATAAAGCAGCTCCTCCAAACTTTACATCGAGCACCAGAGCTGTCAGAGACTCGGCTCCTTTCTTTGAGATTATAGAACCTGAAACGACAACATTTTAATTAATATATCTAACGGACAGAACCGCAGCAGTGGGACTGTTAGCGCTGTTATGTGAGTGATACCGGTAATCAGTGGTAAGCTGTCCACAGTGCTGGTGGCGTCCCGCAGGGCGTACAGGACTCGATCTGCAGGGACCAGCTTCTCCGTCTGACCCACAATGCAACAGCCCACGGAGCCCAGGATCTCCAGAATCTGCACATTTAAAATAATATTAATTATCAGAGTACAAAGATTCACTTTAATCAACTGACTGACGTATGGATGGATGGAAGTCAGGATGTGTGTCTATTTTCTTATTTAACTCAGTGAATTAAAGGTTTATGTCGACCATATTATGAGTTGGTGATTGTTGTTGTGGAAAAACAAACAAAGTGGTTTTAGGGAGTTCTATTGTGTTTGAATGAGCTGGTTAAATGAGTGTTTTTATGAATGGAGTCTGGTGGCCGCAGTATCTCTGTGAACGTAGACGGTGAATACGTGAACCTGTGCTGCCGATCGGTGGATGCTGAATCCGGGAATCGATTCCAGTTTATCCAGAGTCCCTCCTGTGTGAGCCAAGCCCCGCCCACTGATCATAGGCACCTGGCAGACACACACCTGAGGTTATGACATCATCCAGTAACAGTGACTCAGCGGGTCGATGTGGCCAGCAGGGGGCCCTCACCTTACAGCCGCAGGCAGCGAGCGCCGGCGCCAACACCAGGCTGACTTTATCTCCCACACCTCCCGTTGAGTGTTTGTCAACCACAAGCCCCGCCCACTCCTCAGGCCACGACATCACTTCCCCTGATGACATCATCTCCCTGGTCAGGGTCTTGGTTTCCTGGTCGACCATTCCCTTCTGCCAGATCGCCATCAGCATGGCTCCTGAACAGACAGACAGTGTAAATGTTTGATGTGATCAGAAACTGTCTCCAGCTCTCGCTCTGTCTCTACCTGTCTGACACTCCTGGATGGTTTCGTTCACCACAGACTGGATGAAGGTTTTGATCTCGTCGTCGCTCAGCGTTCTTCCATCTCTCTTCTTCTTGATCAGATCTGGGATGGACATCGTGTCGGTCTGGAGACGCAAAGAGTCGATTTATGAAAACTTTACTGGACTTAAAAACAAAGAAGAAATATACAGAAATATAACTTTTATTATGTTATAAACAAAAAGATCCAGAAAGTGATACAATAAAAACAATAAAAAAAACACTTAAAATATAACATGATCCTGTGACTCAGATACATAAAAACTCCAAATATATGTACAGTATGTGTCTATAATATATGTTTGTATATAAATGGTTAAAAATTAAGTGTAAAAAAACCATTTTAGTTAACAGAAAAAAAACAAGAACTAGACCGAAACTACTAATAATGAAATTGAAACTAGAAATAAACAATATAAAACTAAACTGAAACTGACTTTAAAACAAAAATAATAAAAATTAAATAAAAAAGAAAAACTAATAAAAAATACAAAACTATAATAATCCTGATATAAACACATACTGTGTCTATATATAAATATAAATATAAATAAATACAGTGACTTTTATACCTTTATATTAGAATTAAACTATGACTCAAACAAGAAACAGTCAATAAAATGTCAAATAAATATTTAAAATAAAATAACAACAATAATGAATAAGTCAGCTTTCAAACCTTATTAAAGGCGGTTTTAATAATTCCAGAAGAACTCTTTTGGCTGCTGGAAAAAGGTAAAAAATACCAAAAAAAGTGAAATAAAACTATGAAACAAGTAAAAAAAAAAGTTATTTTTCCATCCTTTAAATCTTCGTCTTTCTTCCTCTCTCTTCTTTGTGGGCTTTGTTGTCTCCGACTGCTGCAGTCTGAGCAGTAACTGACCTCCGACTGATCCCAGCTCATTGACACATTCAGAGGAAGTTGCTCCAAAAAAGAACGTCACAGAATTTTCTTTTCTTGCTCAAACCGACACTTTAGTTGAGTCTCTGTGCTAACGTCCTGTTTATAAAGTTTATAAAACCACAGCAGCTGAGGAGGACGAGGAGGAAGAGGAAAAAGAAGAGGATGAGGAGGAGGAGGAGGAGGAGGATGAGAAGGAGGAGGAG